TCATTAATGGCATCTATCTATCTATCTATCTATCTATCTATCTATCTATCTATCTATCTATCTATCTATCTATCTATCTATCTATCTATCTATATCATAAAGGTCCCAAGAAGGAATAAAATCATCAGAACACAAAAATGACCAATCTGCTCTATTGACAATGTGCAGAGAATTATGAGAAATGTTGTTTTCCCATGAATCCAGGCTGGAGCTGATCGAAGACTAGTGAACAAACCACCAGTTATCAATAAGCAGGTGATCCTTTGTTAATGTAATGGGGCATTGTGTTAGCGAGGGAGGTGAAGTAGCTTCTTCACTGATTTCTAATATTGCTTCAAACAGGAGGTTGGTCTTCGTAGAGTGCAAGGAGGTCTTCACTTCCAAGAGACTTCCTACACTTCTGCTCAATTTAGGGGTCACCACAGCAGATCATCTGCCTCCACCTCACCCTGTTTCCAGGACACTCCACCTGTGAAAAGCTTGCAGACAGTGGATCCAGGAGAGCAACAGTGAATGAACTGCTGTAATCCAGTTGCCTCGTGGGTCCCCAGTTCCTGTGAGGAAAAGGAAATACAAAAGGGGAATAAATAAATAAAATAATGATATGATGGTGGAGCAGAAAGGGACTCAGCTGAAACATGCAGGACGAGGGCTAAATGAAGAGTTACAGAACTGAGCCTTCCACATGTCACAGCTGCACACTCTAACCCCAGATAAATCCCACCACGTAGTCTTAGTAAAGTTGACTGGTATGTGTCTCCAAAAATAACTGTAATAGACACCAGCAGCAGGAAGTATTCATCCTCGTGTCCATGCCGTGGCCTGTTCACCCTCATGGCTTGTATCTCTGGACCTCAGTGGGGTTGCTGTGTCTGCTATGTAGTCTGAGCTCAGGTAAGAGAGGAGTTTAAAGAAGAGCCAGTCTGAAATCTGAAAGTGTCATTTTTAGAGGACAATAAAGAGTTCAGAGTGTCGGTGGGGCGCGTCGTCCTTTTAGCTTGCACCACTGATATCTGAGACTTACAGAGTGCAGTCTGTATCAGTACAGAATGCATGTACAGCAGTATGAAACAGAGACCAGAGAGTGAAAAATAACATTTGAGCCATGAAATCAGAGAAGGGATCTTTGTAGTTTTTCTTCCTTATGTGGGAAGCAAATGATTTAAATCCACAATTTTAAGTATATATTTACATATAAGCGAAGAGCAGAGCTGAGCAGGGAGTCTGATACTGTGGATACCAACTATCTCACACAATAAAATGGGCTGCATGGTCACTGAAAGTCGCCTATGTGCATGTTGTTGTGCCCAAATATTCAACCCTTTTGTCCACTATGCAGAAAACAGACACTCCATGGGGTCTTTATGACTGGATGAAACATAGTTAAAAAAAAAAAAAAAACAAGTTAATGGTCTGCGGCACGGCTGCAGCAGAAACGAAAAACTGACAACACAGTCATTGCAAACAAACTCAGTCATTGTGAATAAAATGAAGTAGCTGAAAGTGAGCATTCTGAGCCGTGTCGGGTCCTTCAGGGTTACACACCCCTTTCTTCATCACAGCCTTCTGCAGCTCTGATGGTTCTTCTCTTCGTGGTACCCTCCATGGAGGATAATGTTCCCTGTGGCTATTCATTTTATAGCCAAGCATTTCAAGGATAACTTTTGATACATTAGTTAGTTAGCTGGTTTGTTTTAGTGATGGTCGCAGTAGTAATACTACATTCACATTTTCTACTAGACTTTGCACACAGTGAGCTAAAGCACAGAGCTGTGGTGAAGCTGTGCACAGGTAACCTGTAACTCACCTGTCCTATCGTCTTGCAGGCAGCAGCCAGTCTGTGAGGACCGGCTTCATCGGAGATGAGGTCCTCCTGCCCTGTGTCTACTCTGAACAGCTGTCTGAGCCGGTCACTGCCTTCTGGAGGGACAAGGATGACAAAATTGTGTTGGATATCATCAACGGCAAAGAGGATAAAATGGATCCAAAGTTCAGAGGTCGCGTGTTCAGCTTCCCAAACCATTACAAGACTGGAAACCTCTCCATCCTAATAAAGGGCCTGAGGGCGGACGACGCCGGCCCGTATGACTGCGACATCCCCAAAGTGGACTATCAGGCCAAGATGACTCTGAAAGTCACAGGTCAGTTCAGCAGCATGAGCACCTTATTAGGAACACCTCAGTGTTTGTGCAGCAGCAGCTCAGGGGTCTTTGAAAAGTGCAGAAAAGGACCACGCTGCAGTCATCAGTGAGTTGGAGTGAGTGTTCAAATCAGGTGTTCTTGGTTCACATTAATTTTTATTTGCAGCACATTTAAGCAATAAAAGTCAGATGTTACAGTCCACACTCAGCCCTTCAAGTCATGCAGGATCAGTAAACACCAAATCCTACTGAAGCTAGCTGGGTTGATCACACTGACAAAGATGAAAACTGCACTGAAACCTGTGAACTTCGACCATCTTTCTTACCATTTTAACTCCTTTTATTTAACATGACTTTTTAATTCAGTGGAAATTTGCATCTGGAAGCAAGAGCAGCACCACAAGAAAAAGAACAATATTCTGTGAGCTGTGCTTTTTTCCTTAAATGAATTTTAAGCCTTAATCCAGCTCATATCTTTATTTGGATTCATAACAAATTGTTCCAAAGTGTCTCATAAAATTATTCTGAGTCTTCTTTTTAGCCATATGTGGACAAGCAAACACTGGGTCCTTTTTGATAGGTGTCTTGATGCAAAGATGGAATACTGACAAAATCAGTGGCTTGAATATTCCTTAGTGGAATAATTAGCTACACTCGTGGCATCAGAAGCAGACAGAACTTCGTGTGGGTGTTTTGTATGATTTTTCTCCAGTTTGATTCAATTCCTTCAGTTTAAAGATGTTTTCTTCCTTGTTTTTTCCTGTTTCCTGTCTGCCCACATTTTTTATTTCAGTATTTCAGTGCCAGGTATATTTCAAGAAGCAGCAGTAGTGTTAAAAACAGAGTGGATCAAACAGGAAACAGCCCATCTACAGCTCAAACACTGACTATAATGAACAGTTATTCTACTGTGGAGATAAGAGAATACGCTCCTTCTGGCAGGTTTCAGTCCAAATGATCTTCACCAGTTTGGTGTTTCAGTGTTTCTTTACATGTTCAGCTCTGATTAAACTGGAACTTTTTTGTGTTGCAGAAAAACCTGGTGTTGTTAAAATAACAACTCCACATCCTGACCTTGCTACGATTAGTGGTGCAGCTGTAACATGCTCCAACCACCACCTCCTGGTTCTCCTCTCTGCTCTGTTTGTGCTCTTCTGTTCTTTACAGTAAACACAGGTTCAAACTTAAGTCGGGTTTAGCTCAATTACACCTTAAAGTATTGTCTTGTTTAAATTGCCTTTATTAATAAATAATTGATATCTCTGATCTGCTGTGTTTTATATTTCCTGCAACTGTTGTTTCTGATTCAAATAAGTACAAAATATCCTGAACACTCACAGTTTGAGCACTTTATAAACAACCATTAAGCGGCACTTTAGTAGCTATGTTAATATATTAATAGAGTGACCTTTGTACAACAGTGAAGTAGAATTTAGTAGAATTGTTCTTCAATTCAATTCTTTATACTTTCTTACTTTGAGTACATTTCAGAGTTACTTGTCTACTTGTGTAAAAAAAAGTTTCTTCAGTATTTTAACTTTTACTGGAGTATTTTATATCACAGGCATTTGCACTTCTACTTAAGTAAAGAAAGTTTGTAATTTTGCCATCTCCTGTTTTTAGTTTTAGTTCACTAGAATAATTCTGCTCGTCATTTGTCTGATGCTGAGCAACGGATTGTTCGCAAAATGTTTCATTTCCATAAGTTTTCTTTGTTACTTTGTTTAGTTGATATATGATTGAGGTAAACACAAAACCAACAGCACAAAGCAAAGATGAAAAACAACACAAAGAGACTTTAATGCGATTGCCACGATGATTTTACTGTATCAACACCAGTGTTGGGACTAACGCGTTATTAAGTAACGCGTTACAGTAACTACGTTATTATTGTGGTAACGAGCATGGTAACTAGTTATTATGCCAAAGTCAGGAACGCGTTAGTCGTTACTGGGATTTAGATAGGGTCGTTACTCGTTACTTCGTGTGGCGGCATCGCGGAGCTTCCACAGATTCAGTAACATTAGCAAGTGGTGGAGGCCAG